CATCATTAAGTCTAGTAGACAGTTCTGCAATCTCATCTGCCCCCACCAAGAAGCAATATGACCAAGAGCAATGAACAGAAATCACAGTCTTCAAAGTTATTTATTGGAAAATGGGCTTATATCAGAATCTAGAGTATCTAGACGAATAAGATAATAAATTTTTGGGGAGTTTATTAGTTTATTAGACCAGACACTCTAGAATGTAGAATACATTGTGTCTTTAATGTTGAAAAAAGAATTCCAAACAAAACAGGTCTTTCAAATCAGAGGCAATGCTTTGAAACGAAGTATTTAGCTCACTTTGCATCATCCCTCTTCCATTTCATTTATCATCAGAATGACCCTCTGAGACAGAGTCATTTAAGACAGGTTCCTGTGAGTCAGTTAATTTGCCCTCTATATATGCATGTCTAGCTTCAGCTACTCCAGGAAAGATACTTAGACAAGATATCAAATTTTAGAGTGCTAATATTCATAGAATCGTAGAATAATTAGGGTTGGAAAGGACCTTAAGGTCATCTAGTTCCAACCCCCCTGCCATGGTCAGGGTCACTTCACACTAAACCGTATCACCCAAGGCCTCGTCGAACCTGGTCTTGAACACTGCCAGGGATGGAGCATTCACAACCTCCCTGGGCAACCCGTTCCAGTGCCTCACCACCCTAACAGGAAAGAATTTCCTCCTTATATCCAATCTAAACTTCCCCTGTTTAAGTTTTAACCCGTTACCCCTTGTCCTGTCACTACAGTCCCTAATGAAGAGTCCCTCCCCAGCATCCCTATAGCCCCCCCTTCAGATACTGGAAGGCTGCTATGAGGTCTCCACACAGCCTTCTCTTCTCCAGGCTGAACAGCCCCAACTTCCTCAGCCTGTCTTCATACAGGAGGTGCTCCAGTCCCCTGATCATCCTCGTGGCCCTCCTCTGGACTTGTTCCAACAGTTCCATGTCCTTTTTATCTCGAGGACACCAGAACTGCACACAATACTCCAGGTGAGGTCTCACAAGAGCAGAGTAGAGGGGCAGGATCACCTCCTTTGACCTGCTGGTCAAGCTCCTTTTGACACAGCCCAGGATATGGTTGGCGTTCTGGGCTGCAAGCGCACACTGCCAGCCCATGTTCATTTTCTCATCAACCAGCACCCCCAAGTCCTTCTCTGCAGGGCTGCTCTGAATCTCTTCTCTGCCCAACCTGTAACTGTGCCTGGGATTGCTCCGACCCAGGTGTAGGACCTTGCACTTGGCATGGTTAAACTTCATGAGGCTGGCATCAGCCCACCTCACAAGCATGTCAAGGTCCCTCTGGATGGCTTTCCTTCCCTCCAGGGTATCAACTGAACCACACAGCTTGCTGTCATCAGCAAACTTGCTGAGGGCTCACTCAATCCCACTGTCCATGTCAGCGACGAAGATGTTAAACAAGACTGGTCCCCAGTTTCTACTTGCAGAATGAGGATATTGTCATTGCCACACTTCACCTGGTGTTCTGAAAGGTTACAAGCTATAAAAGCCAATGTAGTAGCAGTAGAAGCCTTGAAAATACTTTCTGTTGCAGCCAGGCTTAAGCAGTGTCATCTTCAGTACTAAGTCTTTGTTCTTCAGTTTAGCTCTAGATCTTTCATTCTGCTTGCAGAGGTCCATCTTTTTATGTCATTCACTGTAAGTGATGAGCTATACCTAGTTCAGATGAATCCCTGAAACCACAGAAACAAAGGCTCTTCTTCACAACTTTTGGGTCATTTTGAAATCAGTGGCTTCTAAAGTGGTTGAAAAGGTCTATTGGCCAGAATAGAAATGCTGCTTGATTGACATCATCATTTGTCACAGGGTTGGGGATGAAAAGTAAAATGTCGTCTCGCTTGATTCGTGAAAGGCTGTCCTTAACATCAGCGCTAAAGAATGTTCATTGTCCTTTCCCAATTAATGAGCTAAAGATAAACTAAACCACGAGTGATGTGTCCTCATCTCTGACCCTCCTTTGAGCAAGAGCTTGGACAAGGTGACCTGCAGTCTCCTCTGACCAAATTTCCCTATGGTACAGTAGGACTTTCACAGGAAAGGCTGTCTTGGAAGTGTGGAGGAAAGGGAAACCATCACCACAGGAAACTGAGGGTCACACATGCAGTGATTTGTCAGAGAGCCTGATAAACCAAGCAATCCCTCATCAGCAATCCAGCAAAGCTCAGCTTGGCGAGACTGAACCCCAAGGGAGTAAACTCCATCCTGGTTCCTGAGAGGAACAACTGTGCGTGGATGAGTCATTCCAATTGCTGCATTTAGGTATTGCTATTGCAGCAGTCTGATCCCATCACTAACTTCATAACCTTTGTCCTGCCTCAAAACTTTCCACTTTTGTCTACACTGCCATTCCTGACCCTTGGCTGCTGTGCCAAAATTTTTCTCCTACTCTATCATTCCATATCTGAGATGCAAACCTCAACGACAGCATCTTCCCCAGCTTAAAATTTCTCAAAAGAACATATGTCAGACCTTTTTGTATTTGGTCACTGGCAATAACTCCAAAAGTTTACCACATGCTAAGTCAAGACAGCACTCATTTTCTGAAGCCATCTTTCCTGTCCTTGTTTAGAGAGATATTTTGCCATTGCCTTCTTGCTTTCTCTTGGTCAGTACTTGGGAGGTGGGTTCACTTATTGCCACCAGGCTTATAGGGCAAGCAGTCAAGGCTGTGAAACTTCATTTGTATATTATTAATCTCTTTGAGACACCAAGGGGGATGTTGGGACCAGTGCTGGCAAGTTTTAATTATTCACTGACCCTTAAAAACCTAGTTAGTAGGAAAGGCTAGAACGGTCTTCTCTTTATAGCTGCTCACTTACCAGCATTTAGGAAAAAAAAGGAGGGGAGGGAAAAGTGCATTCATGGCACTTTTGCTAGGAATAGTGCAAAAGAGGGAAAAGGCCAGATTAATTTTTTTTTATATATTTTCATTATTTAAAGATCAAAACTGCAAGGCAGCTTCTATCCAGAAGTTATTTTGCCATCTACAGCAGCAGGTTGAAGGGAACTCACAGCAACAATGGTCCCATGGTCTAGTTTATGAAAATAAACAGCAAAATCTGGAAAATGAGGACAGCTGCTTCTAAGAGAGGGGATGAGCCTTTGCATACTGATCCCTGAGCAGGAAAGGCAGATTTCCCACTCCAGGCATAACTGAGCTTGCTTAGAGTAGAGATAGAATAGATTGATAGATGGATAGACAGATAGAGAGAGAGAGAGACAGAGAGACAAACACTTTGTTCATAAAAGGCATAGCAGCACTGCAGTCTTCTGCCAGAAATCTGAGGCCAACATGTTCCAAGTTCTGCTGAGCAAAGCCCTACAAAATAAGTAGAAATGACCACAAATATGCCTGTGTTTTAAATTCTAGAGGAGTTGGCACTACCTGGTAGTCTGCTGGTTGGAAAGGGAGCAGCCAAATCTATACAATTGCAGCAAGGAAGCCTTGTGTTCTCTGCAAGGGGTGAATTTGTCAAGCAATGCCCAGCACCCAAGCCAAAGCTGAAGAAAGCCATTTGCAAAAGTGATCTTCCTTTTATGAAGCAACTTACAAAAGCTGTACATGTCACTTCAAAGAACAGAAACCACTGCTGTGGCACTTGAGTACCCAACCAAAGCAGATCACTCCCAGGCACTTCTGAACCTTTCACTAAGAAGTGCTCAATCTCAGTGTATTGAGAGTCAAAGCTGGGACATCAACTCAAGAAAATCATAACCCATGGAAACAGAAAGCAGTGAACGGCAGCCAATGTGTTATTAACTAAGAAGTGTTCCCCTAGGTTTAATCTCTTCCCTTGTCTTTAAATACAAAGGGTTTGGAGGCAAAAAGGGCCACTTTTCTTGTGCATTTAATTCTGTGGCTAATGCCAAGGACACCAAGAAGGGTAGTTCCACACAGCTCTGAGAATTGCTATTTGTTTGTTTTATAAGGATGCTTGTACTCGGAGAGCAAATGGTCGTATTCCAGCCCTCAGCTGCAGCGCATATGGTAGACATAGACACGATAAACTCAAGAGAGTGATTTTCTGCTCCTTCAGTTGTCCATCCTTCCTCTGAATTGGGATTTAGACTTGACTCCCCAAAGGAGCACCAAAGCCCTTGATTGAGTGTCTATTCATATACACAGTGCCTAATCAAACATGAGGTCTTTCTCTAACCATTTTAACCCTGTAAGAAGCACCTACCACATTATTTTCTGGCTAGGGAGTGAGAGGACCCACCAATGCTTCCTGCTTCTGCACTACAAAGTCTACAGTTAGTATCTTCAATGAGTCACCCAGATTCAGACAAATACTCTTTCTACATGGGCCACCACAGAGAGATGACATGGTAGCACTGGCTAGGTTTCTATTTCCAGCAGCGCTGAAAGAAATGGAGAAACAGCAGGATTTTACTCAACTCTTTGAACATGTAACATTGGACATGTATTTAACATCAGTATGCTCATGTATTCCTATGAGGGCTGAGAGTGAAATAGTAGTCTTTACCATGGGGGAAGGATTGCATGTGCCTATTACTCAATTTGGGCATTTTAATCATGACTGATATTTTTTATTTTCCATGCATCCTGTCTTCTAACCTCAAGAGCATCAACCTTTTTACTTACCACTTGCTGTGGAAAGGGCTGAAAACCCATTTGTACTAGATAACATACTTTGGATTGTTTGATACTACATTGCTGTGTTTCCAATTACGTTTCTTTGCTTTTATCTTCTTTCTGTAATCTGCTCAGTCCCTCCCACTAATTAAAACCTTATTCGCCTTTTTTCCCCTTTCAACAGTGTTTATCCTTTGCATTGTTCCTTGCATCTCTGCTTAGCAAGATTGACTTCTGTTATCTTTGGGTTTTAAATATATATTTAGATTTTACTGGCACAGACATTTGTTAAAGTGATCCAACTGTTCATTACAGACCTCATGATTTTCCATAGTAAATTTTTTAGACAATCAACTCAGATCAACTTTATTTTGTGTCTCATTCTACATTCTTTCAGAGTTGTATTTTATGAAAAGCCCACCACTTCAGATTATTACCTTCTATATATAACATTCCCTCAGAATCAGTAGATATCTGATGATATTCTGATGGCTAGACCTCCAGATGTTTTATTTTATTTATCATATTTGGCTTGTTTTCTAGGACAAAGTCCAAAACAGACTCTAATCTCAGTCTTGCTCAACAAATTCTGTGAGGGGCTGTGAAAAGTTATTAAGGGGGTAAAAAAGTCTTTACATAACAAATATTTCTGCAAATCCTAGTGTTGTTTTATGTACTTAAAACATCTTAATCAATAATGACCTTGCAAGAAGACTAATAAGGATTTCTGGGGAGGGCATGGAAACTCTCAGAATAAAATGATTTCTTGCCAATATATGTCAGGAAGAAACTTTCCAAGGGCAACTTTCCATAATTGTTGTTTAGGAGGTTTTTGTGCTTTTTCTTTACAGATGGCACTTGCCACTGCTCAAGAGTCAGAACAGATTCTGGATCTGTAGCTTGATCCAGGATAGCAGTCTCCATGTCTAGAAAACAAATAGAATGAAGATGAGAGGAACCAAATGCGTAACATGCTGCAATGCCTTCCTGGCTGTGTGGAGTCTTGCAGGGCTTGGAACTGAATAAACACCATGCTGGAAGGACAGACCATGGCCACTTGAACTAAGGGGCATTCCTAGAGGTAAATAAAGAGGTGGGTGAAAACCAAGGGTCTCAAAATGAGACGGAATAAACGAGCCAGTAAGCTTGATGTTAACAATTCCAGTTTAGTGAGCAAAAACATTTAGTCTTATGAGAACCTCTCTGCAGTCCTGCATCCAGCTCTGAGGCCCCAGTATAAGAAGGATGTGAAGCAGTTGGAGCAAGTCCAGAGGAGGCCACAAAGATGAACAGGCTGGAGCACCTCTTTCTACAGAGACAGGATGAGAGAGCTGGGCTTGTTTAGCCTGGAGAAGGGAAAGGCCCAGGGAGACCTTAGAGCAGCCTTCCAGAACATAAAGGGCAGAAATGAAAGCTAGAGAGGGGCTGTGGACAAAGGCAGATAAGTTTGGGACAAGGGAGAATGGCTTTAAACTGACAGAGGGGAGATTTAGGTGAGACCTGAGGAAGAAGTTTTCCCTGTGAGGGTGGTGAGGCACTGGCACGGGTTCCCAGAGAAGCTGTGGCTGCCCTATCCCTGGCAGTGTTCAAGGCCAGGTTGAACAGGGCTTGGAGCAACCTGGTCTAGTGGAAGGAAGAGAGTGGAACTGGATGATGTTTAAGGTCCTTTCTAATCCAAACCATCCTGTGATTCTATGATTCTGTGAACCTAGTGGTGTGGTTATCCTGAATGAACCTACATGTCTTGGCAGTGCTATCAGGGTACCATCCCATTCCCCCAAAATAACACTACCTGTACCACGGGTTATGAACCTCCTCAGATAGTGCCTCCCATGGCAATACCAGAAGAGGGGTTTTGCGGCCATGTCAGGGCTAGGAGGAAAGTCTGTGGTGGTGCTGAGTTACTGGTTGCCTACACCCAGGTAGGAGGGAAAGAAAAAGGGGTCTTACAGCTCCCATTGCCATCTCTCACCAACACCATCACTGTAAGATGAAGGCTCCTCTGAACAGATTTCACACTCCAGGTGAGGTCAGAGAAAACAGAGAGCAAAAGATAGTTTTGCCATTCTAATTTCACTGAAGCATTATGTTGCATTGCGGCTTTCATGAGATCTCAAGCTTATTGAAGTGGGTAAGAAATTTTGCTGCAGCACACATTAAATAGCAGAAGGGCCATTTCTTATTCTATTCATTTTACAAAAAATGTTATCAGAAGATATAAATGAAACTCACCTTTCCAGTTTCTAACCCAGTCTTTTCTAGACTTGGTTAATCCACTATTTTTTCTTATTTGTCTTCTACTTTGTGGTCTTCAGAAACTGATACTTAAATTTCTGAATTTCACACAGGCAAATCTCTCATCACCTGCAGGCGTATACCTGCATGCTCCCTTCTTGACTCCTGTAGGTCTTCAGCTGAATACCCAAAGCATGAATATAAGCTGAACTAACCACATAATGAAGTACACAGTCTAATCTTGTCAAACTGCTCTGAAATTCCTCTCGTCAGGTTTTGTAACCTTGATTTCTTGCAGCCGGGCTGTCCCATATCTGCAGTGCTTTTGAGAAAGGCAGCAATAGAACAAACAAGACAAAACCAAACAGAATTCTTTAGAGTTTTCAAGAAAGTTTTGAAACCTTTTTTATATCTTAAGACTCTTCTCCCTAATTTAATGGAATTTTCATCCTTTTCTTTCAAACCAATTTCAAAATTGACATGCCGAAATTCAGAATACAAAAAAAAAAAAGTAGGAAATTTGAGGATTTTCCCACTCCACCCCACTTTCAACGGTTTCCAAACCTTTTTACTATGATGGCCTGAGAGGGTTCTTTATTTTTACAGCTGCTGCATACCTAGTTCCCCTCACTGGAAGACGCACATGCAGCTCCAGCGATTCTAATCTTTTCATTCCAGGAAAGGAACCAGCTGTAAATCCACTGAAGCAAGATCAGGATACAGTACCAGAACTGTTGTTCTGGCCTCCCGCTGGTTAAGACTTCCCTTGAACTGCTCTCACACTCAGTCTTGTCATGGGTCCAGGAGCCTCTGTTTTAAGAATCCCTTCCCACCTCCCAGTTGAGACCTCAGTAAGCCTCTAAAGGCAGTGGTATTATGACTTTCATGATCTGGTGAGACACCTCTGCAAAGCAACAGTTGAGTCAGATTTGGAATAGTAGAGGGTGCTTGGTTTCTTCTATCCTGACAGCACCCAAAAGAGGTGCTATGTTTGCATCCACTCCCAGTTTCCAAATAAATTGAATGTTAGGGATAAAGTTACTCCATGCACACTCCCTGTCCCTGGGTGATGTTGTAAATGAATTTGTGTAATGATGTTGTAGCACTCAACAGCGCAGTTCCTTCCCTCTTTTACTGCAAGCACGGCTGCCACAATCCTTGCTGATATTGTATCAGCTTTCCACTATGCAGTAGGCTATAAGACCAGAAAAAAAAAAACCTGGCATTCTGTAACAAAAAATCAGATCAATGTTTGCAAATACTGACAATTTCCCTGCACCCATGGAAAACTGCTCAGGGAGTCATCTCATGCTGGCGAGAATGTCACCTCCAGGGTGGGTCTTTCCCAAATTTTCACAGTAACCTGGCGCTGAGTGTGTACAAACACTCACAATGACTGCTTAGCAACACCTCCTGCCAACCTAGGCAGTGGCAGAGTGAACAAAAATGTGTGCCGTGCTCTCCAGCAATTCCTGCAATGAAAATATATCATCAAGGAACAGTAAAACTTGTGTTGGGCTGGTGGGGATGAGGTGGAACAGGACCTCCCGCACCTCTTTCCACAACACTAACACAAGTCTGACTTTGTCTTCTTGGACTTGGCAAGTCTCATTTGAGTTCCAGTGAGCCTCATGTCCCCAGTAAAAGCTGGCACACATGAAAGCTATGTGTATATATATGTTGTGTCAGGGGACGGGGGAGGAGGAGGCAGTTCTGCAGCAGGAGCCAGCAGCCATTCCTACAGCCAAAGGTCAAGAGATCTGCAGGATTTTTCCAGACGTGCGCTGTCATTTCTTATCCTGTCTAGATCAAGGGTGGCCCAGCAAAGGGGAATGCAATCATTTGGCATGGAAAGAGACTACTGCTCTAAGGGACAAATCCTGAGAGCAAAGGGCACAATACACTCCCCTGCCATAGCAGCCCTGTGACATTCTGCAAGACATCCGTCAGTACTTTTCAGTATACGGCAGGACAGGTCCCACTGATGGCTAGTCAAGACAGCTCAGGCTTTTCACCTTTGGAGCATCCATTATGATTAATTTGTTGGCAGTTTTGGAGACAGAGGTGCCTATATCAATCAGGAAAAACCATTCCAGAGAGGCCTGAGCTAACATAGGAGTGAGCTAGTACATCCATGCAATACAACTCTTTGCTATCTAAAGGTATTTACTCCAGTCAAACAGCCCATGGGCCACTTTGTGGGTAAGAGGGATGCTACTGATCAGCCACATTAAAAGGAAATACATCCTGTTCCAAACCTTCTTGACATTGTCACATCATTGCAAGCTTGGGGAAAACTCAGTGCATTGCTGAATCTTTCATCCTCACACAATACCTCACCATAAAAAGCTGTTTCTTCAGTTTTTTGAGAGGCTAGGCAGAAGATTTTCCTCACTGGAGGACAGTTATGGGAGATGGGCATAGAATAATGGAATGATTTGGGTTGGAAGGGACCTGAGAAATCATTTAGTTCCAAGACCCCTGCCACAGGCAGGGACACCTTCCACTAGACCAGGTTGCCCCTTCCAACCTGGCCTTGAACACTGCCAGGGATGGGGCAGCCACAGCTTCTGTGGACAGCCTCTGCTAGGGCCTCACCACCCTCACAGGGAAGAACTTCTTCCTCAAATCCCATCTAAATGTCTCCTCTGTCAGTTTACAGCCATTCCCCCTTGTGTGTCACTTGATAGAGTCCATTTGCCACCAGATTAGCTGACAGCAGGCTGAAGGTCTGTTCTTTCCTGTATATTAAACTGGCTTAAAATCCAGCACTTTGTATTTGAAACCCTACTGAGTGGGTGTTACTGATTCCTAGTCAAAACTCAAAGACAAGGCACCATGCAGTTTCTTAAGAAGCATTTAATAAGCACAGGAAACCTTGTAAATCATGTTTGGAAAAAAACCTTAAATATCTGGGACTTGTAATAAATTTTGAATTACTACTATTGGGTAGCTCCTCCTACAGACATCTTTCTTTTGCTGTTAAATACATACCATTGCTGTTCCTTCACAGGTAACTTCTCCAAGTTGAGGGTGTGACTGTAGAACACACTCAGAGCTAGAGAAGAATGACAGGATCTCAGATGTCTGCCTGTTGAAAGGTGGACACCTCTGTCAGAGCCTATAATAGTATCCTTTTGAAAAATAGTTCAGCTGAATACATTTAAATTTACTCCCATCCCCAGCAATATTTCAGCCTTGGGATTAATACCTGCCTTAGCTTCATGTAGATAATATGACATAAATCCGTATAAAGGCAACCTGGACCACACAACACTTTATTTCCTAGTCCTGTGTCCAACAAATCTTTGTCCGTAACTTGTATTTCCTGCTCCTGGCTGCACTGTATGTGTTTCAGTTGTACAAATGTCAGCTGAAAGTGACACCAGCTGCTCTGCAAGCTTCAGAGGCAATTTCTGAGCACAGCTCATAAATACAATTTCTTACATTTGGCTATGTCTAAGCTTTTTTAGCCATGCTATGCTGCCCTGCTCTCCACGTCTGCAAAAATTAAAGCTTCCCCATACGCATGCCCCTCCCTATGTCTTTGATCCTTTTGTCTGGACTGAAGAAATCCAAGCTGATATATAAAGCATGTGTGATACATCAGCCTGGTAGAAAGCTCCTTCGTGTATTAGCCCTCTTCTGGAGGAGTGAGATTTTTGTGGTATGATGCACAGAGCCAAACCTGCCAGCATTCCCTGGAAAGCAAGAATAAGGGGGAAAAAACTGAGTTCATTATTTGAGATCTGATCATATTATTATACATATGTATCTTCATTATTAAACCAAACATCTACCCAGCTAATTTCCCAGTTGCCACCCTGGCAAAGGGGCCCTGGAAACTGAGCAATGGAGTTAGGGAATATTGATCCGTTTGGAGAATAAGAGCTGGGTTTGTCCATGACGGTGAGCAGTAACATCTGGAGGAAAAAGAGGGTGTGTTCTTGAGCAAAGCAGCAGCTGGCTGCCCCATGCATCCACTGCAGCCACAGCTGGCACAGGCACGGCAGCACTGCTGCAGAGCTTCAGCCTCCCTCCACCAGCACTGCTTCCACATGCTATTGCTCTCACATCATATCCTCAGTCATTTCGCATTCTGCCCGTCACTTAGAACATTACATCGCAGTGGCACAGCATGGCTCTGGCCTCTGGCCCTATTCAGCATAACGATCCGAGGTGATGGGGTAGCCAGCAGCTGTATCATTTTCAACCTGGAGTCATGAGTTTGGCTGTTTCCAAATACAGCAGTAACTTGCTGTCAAGGGTTGCAGGACCATTCATACCAGCAGCAGATGATTTGTGTATACTGTCATACAACATTATTAGTGCTGTTCCCAAGTGGAATATCTCCCCCTTTGAGGCAAAGTCCAGCTGGTATTAACCAGCACAAAGGATTCCTATCAACTATCCTTTCTATTAAATTACTGACAAATCACTTTCTTCTCCCTGTGCAAAACACAACAGGCTTGTCAACCACCCCCTCCCAACACCACAAAAGAAACCCTTCTTCCCCAAGTGAACCACTGGCGATCAGAGCCAGCCCATACAACCAGCTCCCCCAGGGATGTGTAGATGACTTCTCTCTGAAAGAATCCTCATCCCACCACCACGTCGCAGAGGAGGGGGCCAGATCTCCAACACGTGAATCAAGAGACTCCTGTACTTGCTACAAAGCCACAGGACTGTTTGACCATCCAAAGAATTCCTTAATTAAATCTAGGAATCAAATTCTCAAAATAGATATGATTCTATTTTGGACTGAGTCCCAGGTTTGTTTTTGATCTTCCCAGTCAAACTGTCTCCTTCCTTTCCACTGGAAAAGACTGACTGGAAGCCTCTGGCACCCAGTGGATGAGGCTTATAATAAAAGGGCTAAGCTAGTAAATCTGAAATCTGAAATAATGGAACAAGAGTCAGCTAAATTGCTGTCATTTAGTGCCCTTGCCCAACTTGCTACATATGTTTGTCACCATCAAGTGTGGAGTACTATATGGAGTGCTATAGCACTTTGTGCCCTCTGCCACACCACGCAAGCTGCTAAGGACAATAAAGCAAAGACCTTTTGAAGTCAGAGACAATATTACAAAACAAGGATGACAGAGTAATCCTGCTCATGGCTTGGACGGATATACTCTTTTCTGGGTAAAAACCTGGCTGAGTTCAAAGAATGCTGGTGAATGGATTTTAAACCCAGTTGGTGGCAGGTCACAAATGGTGTTCCCTAGGGCTCAGTACTGGGGCCAATTCTGTTTAATATCTTCATCAATGGTCTGGACAAGGAGATCAAGTGCACCCTCAGGAAGTTTGCATAATATACCAAGTTGGTGGGAGTGTTGATCTTCTGCATTTTAGGGAGGCTTTGCAGAGGGATCTGGACAGGCTGGATTGATGGATGGAGGCCAGTGGTATGAGGTTCAACAAGGCAATGTGCCAGGTCTTGCATTTGGGCCACAACAGCCCCATGCAAAGCTACAGGCTTGGGGAAGAGTGGCTGGAAACCTGCTCAGCAGAAAAGGACTTGGGGATGTTGGTCAACAGCTGAACATGAGCTGTCAGTGTGCCCAGGTGCCCAAGAAAGCCAACAGCATCCTGGCCCATATCAACAACAGCGTGGCCAGCAGAACCAGGGAAGCAACTGTCCCCCTGTACTCAACACTGGTGAGGCAGCACTTCAAATCCTGTGTTTAGTTCTGGGCCCCTCAGTACAAGAGAGACACTGAGGTACTGTAGGGTATCCAGAGAAGGGTGCCCAGAGAAGAACAATGAAGCTGGTGAAGGGTCTGGACAGAAGTCTGACGAGGAGCAGAGAAGGGAACTGGGGTTGTTCAGTCTGGAAAAAAGGAGACTCAAGGGAGACCTTATCACTCTCTACAACTACCTGAAAGGAGGTTGTATTGAGGTGGGGGTCTATCTCTTCTCCCAAATAACAAGAGATAGGACAAGAGGAAAAAAACTCAAGCTGCAACAGATGAGGTTTAGACTGGATATTAGGAAATATTTCTTCACTGAAAGGGTTGTCCAGCATCAGAACAAGCTGCCCAGGCCAGTGGTAGAGTCACTATCCCTGAAGGTATTCAAAAGATGTGAGTGTAGGTGTGGCACTTCAGGACCTGTCTTAGTGGTGACTTAGCACAGTTATGTTAGCAGTTGGACTCTTTTCCAACCTAAATGATTCTATGATTCCCTTTGTTTTATTTAGTTTGCTTTGGTTTTCCTAGCTGTTCAGAAATGGAGATCACTTTATCCACAAATCCACACTTAATCAGAGTCAGAGAGTCGTACCTCTTCCCTCTTCCTCACCACTGCATCTTCCTTTGCAAAGACCATTAATTAACTCACTACACAGGGCAAGGTTTGGCTTCTCTGATGAATACCCTGACAATTAGTGCCAGCTGTTAAGGGTGACACAACCCCTGAGCGTACTAAGAAATGGGCTGAGACCACAAATTCATTTCACATCACCCACCACTAGTACACTAGAGCCTTTGAACACCACAGACAAAATAGACTGATCTCAAACTAGCCATCCAGAAGAAACAGGAGAGGGGTGTTTTACATTTTCAGTAAGACAAGTAAATCCAACTCTCCAGCTTCTTAGTATGGGTTAGATGTCAATACTGGGGCCTTTTTTCAGAAGCTCTACAGATGGGATAACAGCAAATGCTGACCTTTATTTTCTGACCAGTTATAATGCAGACAAGTGATAGCACATATTTAAACTGGACTCCATGCATTGCCTTTACAGCCATCAATCCAAAGCAAATGCAGCAGGTTAGAAAGAACTGACCTGGTGGCCAGATCCAACCCTTGAAATCTCAACTGGCTCACTGGCTCACTGACTCACTGAGTGTGGGATCAAGCCAATTTCTCATAGGTCCAGTCCGCTGAAGTTGTGCAAAAAACCAAGAGGTGATCTTTTTTGATTGTCTAGTGGGCTGTAACAAAAATATAATAAAGGAGCAAAATATCAAATCCAAACGAAAGGCTCAGAATAGACTTAGAGCTGGTTCTTGAGAATTGGTTTTTAAATTCCATGTTTTATGGGAAGCAAGGGACCAATCAGGATGAAAGCAAAGGTTTAACTTCACTCTTTCCATTATCCACAATGACGCTGCTAGGCCTGTGGCAAGTTCCACATAAAGCGATCAGAGAACACCATAAATTACTTCATTCAATTGCTTTGTGCTCTGTATGCTGAGGTACTCAGTTGTATTTGGGAACTGCAGTAATAGCAAAGATATATGGAGCTTGGAACTGATCTGGAGAATGTAGAAGCAGAAGAGGTCCCTGATGGAAGCCATGCCTGATAAGCCATTTCTGTTCAAATTCTTTGATGCTTAATTTTGACCGTCCTTTTCATCTCCATTCAGGATCTCTCCACACCCTTTCTCATCAAACACAAACATTCCATTCCTAAACTCATCCTAGACAAAGCACATCCATCATCACCAGGATGTGCTGCATAAAGTGATAATTTTCTAAGATCTCATGGTGCTGGTAATGCCTTAACACATTCACCTCTTATGTTTTTTACACTCCTGTAAGATTCCTATATACTGTAGTTTTATGAGAATGAATTCCAGATTCACAAATGTCTCCTTAAAATACATGAGCTATGTTAAAAAAAAAAAAAACAACCAAAAAAAAAACCCACTGCAAAAAATGCTGAAAACCCAACACGTGATGTACTGTTTTATTCCTTTTCAGGACTCACCTTGGTCCATCACAGATGGAAATATCTGTACATGTCCTCAGTAGACCCTGCTAAATGAGCTATAAAATTCCAAGGAGCAAACCACCCAATGACCCACATCAGGTCTTACATCAAATCCAGGACTAGATAGATGAATCATAGAGTCACAGAATGGTTTGGGTTGGAAGGGACCTTAAAGATCATCCAGTTCCAACTTCCTGCCATAGGCAGGGTCACCTTCCTCTAGATCAGGCTGTTCCAAGGGTCCAACACTGCCAGGGAGGGGGCAGCCACAGCTTCTCTGGGCAACCTGTGCCAGTGCCTCACCACCCTCACAGGGAAGAACTGCTTCCTAATAGCTAGTCTAAATCTATCCTCTGTTAGTTTAAAGCCCCTTGTCCCATCAGTACATACCTCTCTAAAAAATCACTCTCCAGATTTCTTGTAGCTCACCTTAGGGCCTACAAAAATGAAGTATATAGGGGAAACTTCTGTCTTCTGTAGATAAATAGGAACCTTTTAGTTGCCCAATTAGTAACCCTGACAGGATTTGACTAACTGCACTTGAGAGGGAATTCATGTAGACAAGCAACAGTAGAACAAACTAAGAAAAACATGGGGTTTTGCTTGCAGTTCTGGTCTCTCTGCAGCAGGACTCAGCCACAGTGGGGGAGTATGGAGGAGAGCTCCTTTGCTGTTTTTATGGTATAATAGTCCTGTTGCTAATCAAACAGTTTAAGGTCTACAAACCTTCAATACATGACTATAATCTCACAGTACAAATAGCATCAAACTCACAAATGTACACTGTACACAACATTCATGGAAACAAGTAATTCTCCCAGACTAATAACTATTCCATCATTCCTTTGGGTCTTGACATGCCATGGCCTCAGGCTCAGGTTATTTCATGTTCATTTGGCTTCTTTGTGGCCCTGTGTGAGGTCTTTCTGGAGTTTAAGCTGGAGGACAGCCAAGGTGTCAAAGGGACACCTTTTCTCTGAGCTGTTGAGTGGAATGT